TCTTTTGCCTTCCAATGTCAAGGACCTCTGCCAGTAATAACTGTGTGTGACATGCTGATAGAGAGGAAAACATATTACAGGCTACTTATTGGATGCACTTTAGCTTCAGAAACATACTAACAACATAATACTAAAGTTTTGTTTGACACTGTAAATGCTTATGCGTGGTTGTTTCAGATATCTGATTCTGGGACGGCATCAGATGTTGTTCTCTGATTAGTTCTTGCTTTAAATAAGTCAAAACTGAACTTTTCCAAATCCTGCAGGAAATGTCACTGTAAATCTTTTGCTGCTTAGTAAACTTAATTTATAAATTTAATTGTATGTCTGCAGCCTTGAAATGACCCTAAACCAAATTTAATAAACTTGTTTAAGATTTGCAGCATAATTGATTTATGTCGCCATTAATAAGCATTTGAATAAAGGCTGAGCATACTTAGATTAAATTTTTATTGCAGAACATACCTATTTTGGGCAATACAGTGAGTTGGCCTCCCTGACAACCATATTAGGACGTGTCTTGAAATACTGGGGAGCTTAAATACATGGTGTTAGTGGATCCCTCAAAGCCGTTTTGTGGAATGTCTGATGTTGAATGAAGCACTTGCTCTGGGTACGACCTGGCCCTCTAAAGCGCTGTTTAATCCCCCGGAAAGTCAGAGCTGTTGGCATGAGAGCGAGGCAAAATAAATGTATAACAACGCTACCAGACGCAATGAATATCCTTGGATGTTTGTAGGCTTGAGAACTATAAAATGTTACAAGTGTTTGAACACTAATGGATTGTATTATTTTAAGAAACAAATTCATTAATCTCATGTCAACAGGGCTGTAGCAAGGTTTTTAGGAGGAGTGAGGTCCTAGTCCTGCTAAGACTAGAGCAGAAACTCCGAATTGAGAAGTTTGGACATGTCCCATTTTGAAAGATAACGTGTTAATAGTTTTTGTGTTTAGATCTTGCTTTGAGAGGTAGGCCATGTAACTAGAGCACTCCTCTTATTACTGCCATTCTATACTGTTCTTAAATTAACTAGGAGGATTGGTAGCGCAGGCTGACAGCTAGCATGCTCATCACTGAAATGGCAAGCAATCAAACATTCGCAACATTTGCCAAAATTTACTTCAAATACATGAACAGCGTCCTAAATATATACAGAGATATGCTCTCTAAGGATTTGGGTACCTAATTTACATTGTGTTAACCTTTTTTGTAAGAAGAAAGAAAGAATTGAAAGTTTTTAAGTGGTGTAATCAGCTGGTTCCGCATGGTCCTAAAGCCTTCACTTAAGTTGACCAAGTTCTCAATGGTTTTTATTAGAATTTTTTGATAGGCTATAACCTACATATAATTATGGAGATCCAGACCTTGGTGACTTCATAGCTAGCTACAACCATGGATGTCTTGTCTTAATTGTGGCCGGATTAACCTGCAATATATATATATATATGTAACTTTTGACATAGGGCCCATGTAAAAGACAGACAATAATGTAGAGGGAATTGGATTAGGTAAATTGATTTAAATCTCTAGATCCATGATTGTGATCATGCAGTGAGCATGGAACTTAAGTCTCAATTCAAGCAATCTGAGACAAACAAGGCCAGCTGAGTAGCACAGGTTTAGGCTTGACAGATTAGAGGTGTGGTTGAGGCATGGACCCGCTACAGAAACTAAGTTAATATAAATTTAACTTGTTAAATTAACTTAATTTATGATGTTGTGCTCCATTAGTTAAGAACCTGATGAATTTGACGCAGAAATCAAAAAGGTGTCATCAAAATGACAACCGCACTACAGGAAAAGTCAGGGAATCACTAACATCAGTAAGATTCATCCTCTGGGGAAATGTTTGGGCAAAATTTCAAGGCAATCCATCCAATAGTTGTTGAGCTATTTCAGTCTGGACCAAAGTGGAGGACTGACCATCAGACTGAAATTGCCATTCCTAGAAAAACTACAGCATCAGATGTTTCAGCAAGAAATGATAAATAATTATAGCTTTGTAGCATGTACTCCACCTCTGTAGTACTCAGTAATACTCAGCCTTTTTTTAAAGCCAATTTCATTCATACAGTGATGGCAGTTTTGAAAAATTCCAAGAGGATACGATGTGCTTTCATCTTTCCATTTACCTATATTAGTTATGTAGTTTTTACATAAACCTAATATAAATATAAATAACTAACTTCAATTTCTGCATACATCATAATCAAATCTACTACCCTTTCTTATGCTCATTTATTGTTCTTCTTTAAAAGTTCATGTTGTCCAAAATGTCAGACTTACTGCAACTCAATTCTACTCAGTAGAGCACAAATCCCTTCCACTGTTGGAACATTCTCACAGGCCTTCAGCTTCCATATGGTTAATGTTCATTTGTTGTTTGTTACATTCAGAGTTGACTTGCAACAATCACACCAGCAATAAATGTAGCTCGATAATGACAACCAAGAAAAAACGTATTGTAGAGTGGAAATCACTACCAACATCTTATCGTATTATCTTCAGCCCACAGGCGACACACCAAATTCCAGCCAAGTCACTTAAGCAAATTTTGATATATCTTGAGAACAAAAACATGTATGGAATGGGGAAAACATAACCTCTTTTGAGCTTTGTTGGCAGAGGTGTTCAAACCTTGAGGTTTTTTGGCTAAAAAGCAGTCCAGTCAGAAATATAGTAACAACAAAGAGCTTGATTGGCAGTTGCCAAATCTCGTTGATCCTGCCAACTGTAAATACTCATGACCTGTGACCTTCAAGCTTCTAGCAGGGCCTAGGACTTTATAAAAACCCCGAAGTGCCTTCAGTGCCTTAGTTCAAGACAGGGATCTTCCACACTGCTCAGATAGCCCAGTCAAGATACAGAATAGCCATCTCAGTAAATCTACCCTACAGATATCAAGGCAGGATTGAGAAGGAAAACCTCTTGAAGCTCAGCAAGCCCTCTTTATGCCTATGTCTGTCAAGTGTTGTCCAACGTTGAAAGAATCCTGTTTCCTGCTATAACCAACCATCTTTTCTTGCTTGTCAAGCATGCAACAAAAATATAAGTTAAGACCAAGGCCAAGCAGCTACCTGTAAGCATAGTTGTAATACATGGGAGGAAATACGTACAAAAGCAGGTCATTTACTTGCACTACTACTTTACTTGGGTTCTGGTAACACAGGTGGCAGGATTGGGAAAGAATGCCACAAAATGCAAGAAAATGTCGGTGACTATTGATTCTTTAACAGATAGAAAACCTTTTAGAAAGCTAGTTCAGGGTGTTTATTTGAACTTTTCCCCTCAAATGATCCTCATATTATAATAATGCTGTGAATCAAAACATGTAACAGACAGGTTAAGGAGTGTTTCTTGCTGGTTACAAGGGACATTTTTTCAGCAATGCCTCTCTTTGTTCGCAATCATCCAGGCTGCTCTCACAATCACCTTTGCCATGTTCCCCTACTAATACTGTCTGGAGCTGCACGTTGGTGTTTATATCACAGATTAGACAAGTTCATCATGTCTGCACTTTTGGCTCTATCTGAAAAGACAGTAATGAAAGAGCCAATGGCAGAAAGGAGAGCATACTTAAGCAGGTTGAAGTGTATTTTTTGGAGGGTACTTGTTGAATCTAGTGTGTGCATTTTGTCACAACTAAACACTAACACGTGGTAGATTAAACTCTCTGGGCTGCTACTACACTTTTTGAAAGCATTGTACCATGTGATGGTTGAAACATATGAACAAGGGCAAATCTTAACCATTTGTATGTTTCAGTAGTTTCTTTCAGTAATTATAGAGATGTATACTGCTGCTTAGTCTTCTTGGAGAATGCCAGTATGCCCAAGGGTTCAAGTTCTTTCATCAAAAGATATTTGCCCTTTACAATCAAGTGCACTTTCACTATAAGCACCCATTCAGTCAGCACATTGAAGGCATTGCTGATCTGCTCTCCTCTGCAGCCTGAGAAGTGGTAAGCTCCTCTTAGAATAAGAGATTACTGCCTCAAATCCCAGCTCTGCATGTATGTACATCTCCTTAAGTCAGCTTTACCTCTCTGTAAAACCCCTGGGTCATTACAGACGGCACAATGTAGTGAACCCTCCTACCACTTCCCTCAAAAATAATAACAATTCAAACACCCATGTACACTTCAAAAGGAGTGCATGTCCCATTATACCTCTAGGTGGGAAGAAAAAAATGGGGAGAAACCATCTCTCGCCTGAGGATCATGGGGTACCTGGGAGGCAGAGAGGGGTAATGGATAATCATGGAAAGTCTAATTGGTGTTGTCACTTTTTGTTACAAGCTTTGGTGAGAGATAATCAGCAATGGATGATCTCATGACCTGAGCTGGACTGTTTGCAGGGTGCCCCAACTTGGCAAACATCACAGCCAAGCTTTGTGCCTGATATCATTTCCATCGGTCTTCTGGCAACATAATGTGCTGAAGTAAAAACTTCAAAAGGCAATAATCTTCTGTAAGAATATAACTGTCTCATCAGCGTAAATCATCATCAAAGCTGCAGAGTAGAAGAGAGACCCATCCCTGCTGTGGATTGTCATACTAGTAATCCATATCATGCTACTTTTTGGATTAAAATGCAAGATCACTTTTATATTCTGGAGTACATTTTTCACCAGTACATGTTGGGCTCCGGTGAGTTGTGTATAGTATCTTTTGGTACATTGTTGTTCTATAGTACCAAATGGATATAGTTCTGGGTACAATCAGTAAAGTACAGTCAGGGTATAATCTACTTTTGAGTTAAACAGTATTCAACAGGTAAAGCCAAGGTAGACCTAATTTTTGACACTTCCTTAAGACCTCTTTAAGTGTGTAACTACTATACTCTTGTCTCTACACCCAAAACAGTCGTATTTCCCACGATATTAAGACTTGCTCCATTTCAAAAGTTAAAAGAAATGTTTCAGAATGTTGTGCTACTGCTCTAGTTTGCCTAGCATATAGGAATCCACCCTATCACCAGACAAGAGTCAATATTGGATGATTCTGCAAAACTGAGAAAAGGTTTGAATTTCTCTCTGTAGCTCTCTTTTATTGTTCTTTTCACAAATACCTCCAACACTTTTCATGTGTACAGCCAAGATAAACACTGTGAATGCCTGAAGGGAAGACTGACTGAAAATGTGTGTTGTTGTCATTATATCTAAATGATTATCTCGACTCATGACAGCCTTCATTTCACTCTGCCCGCTAAGGTTTGCTAATCGAAACAACTACAAACACTTTTAATTTCAGACATGGTCAAACAACATGTCGTACAAACAAGTTATTTTCTAGCATAACCCAGCCCTTTGAGTTAGGCAACTGAAACACTTGGTTAAAGCTACAGAAATTAAAATTAATAAATGTAACCAAAAAAAACCAATCATACTCTTATTCAGTGCTCCCAGCATGTTTTTAATCGGTAAATATGGAAAATCAGTGTGTCAGAATGACTGAAACCAGTGCTTGACTTTGGTTCATATCCAGCTGCAAAAAATTTCACCAATTGCCTGGACCAGACACTTAATTAATAAACGTTGCATAAGAGCTTTACATAGACTGTAAAGTATCATGTGGTACATTTACAGCTCAACTGAGAGATGCACTGCTCTGCAAATTATAGATGCTGTTGTGGATGCATAGGTATTACAAGATTTGTGACCAAATCCTTTGCCATGTGGGTCAATCTGGGTCAGAAAGGTAAAATAACTCACATCTATAGTATGTGCCCATGTGGAGTAAGACACATAAAGAGGACTCTGTGTTTTTGGTTAGAAGTGTGAAGAGTATGGTTATGACGAGTAGTCTAGTGTAGTAGTGTCATTGTAGGGAAGATAATGGTGTTCATAATGCTTGGTGTAGTATTAAATGAATGAGCTTCTGGACTTAGTGGGACTAATTAGGGGTTATAATTTTCTTTTTTACTTGACCAACATTCCAATGTCTTCAACTGCTTCCACTTCAGTTACTGACTTACTTTCTCAGGGTGCTTTTCAGCAGCCCTAAGAGAACATATCTGAACTTGCTGCAATCAGATCTGAAAGTTGATGGAGAAGACGATGGCAACATCAATATAGCTGTAGATTTAATTAATGGTCATGAGAGTCACGTATTACTCATCAAGTCTGTAGCTGTATTGTTATCTGCTCTATTTTGTGCTCTGTGGGTGTCTAAATAATCATTGGGATTGCTAACCATTGATGCACAGTTGCAGCTTTTGCAAGAAGCCCTTACTCTTAGGTCACTGAAACATTTTTGCCGCCAAACTTTTCATTGCAACATCTGGACATGATGTCACATATTTGGCCAATGGTCCATGAGTAGAAGAACAATCACAAATAACTAATGCTCTTCAACATTGTGTTAGTGTGTTTAAAGGTGGATGTTTCCTTTAAAACCCAAATATTCGTTGAAAAACAATCAATTGCATGCCAAGCCAATACTCACAAGAAAAAAATGTCTGAAAAAAATGCAGTCCCCTAACCCAGGCAGTGTTTGTAAACAAACACTGTACATCCATTTTTTGAAAAATGTTATTCCTAAAAATCAGTCCATTTTGAAACAACTCAGTGGAATCTGTTCTTAAAAGTTCTCATTATTGCTATGACTGATACCTCATGGCTCATGTTAACCCAGGATGGGTTGCTGTCACACTAGCAATCCTTTGTTATTTATTGCTCATAAACTGAAACCGTCTCGGTATCTTGATTGGCCAAGTCTTCGTGTCTCCTCACATACCATTTAATACACATCATACCTTTACTCTCAACACTCACATGTCTGTGCACTGCAGTGACCTCTGAGGAATTTTATAATGACTGATTCATATGATATGTTTGTCAGTCATATTGCCTGTGGTCTCTTTCTGTCTCACTGCACATTTAGGGATTTGCTTAATTAGATTTTTCAGTTTCACTGTTTTTCTCTGCCGTCCTGTCTCTCTACATTTATGTCGTTTTGTTTTTGCTGATCTCCTGCTTTTCTCTCTGATGATTATACCATTTTGTCACAGATGTGACTTTTTATCATGGCAGCAGGTTCTTGGTGTGCAATCAGATTTGTTTCTGAGCCAAACTGTATATTCATTTTTCTTTTTCACTTAGGATGTTTCTGAAACCTTTTCTCAGGCAGAATGTGTTCTTTGTTCCACATTGCAGGCTTGATTGATTTTATGTATACAAAATAAATAATAAATAACATTATGACTGAGGCTAGTTTGCTCTTGAACTTTACCCTTTGGTTCTGGCTCTGAACCTGCCATTCTGGGTTTTCCAAACTCTAAATACTGTAACTAATATCAGATAATAAAAGTGCTCTTTAGATACTTCCTGCCCCCGTTCAGCATTAGTCTTGCAGATAATTGATCTTTGCCGTCTAGTCTGCCATGTGATTGAAATGATGTGAAGTAGCCAAGAGTTTAAGCTGCACTTTCTGACATTAAAGTATCGCTGTTCTAGACTCACACACACACCTAAACACACTTTTTGTCACTTCTAATCTTGTACATTGTACAGCTCCACGTCTTTTGACCACTGACCCCATTTGATAAAGATTTAGTTACGTCTGATATATTTGTTCTCTTTCTGTGCTGTAGAGCACTGGTGAGATAAGTGAAGTGTAAAATATCTGATCAGATAGCAGAATAAATGACTATTGATCAGACCTCCAATCAGCCATCAGTGTTTCTCTCACTGGCACAACTGTGGACTCCCTGGAAGTCCCTGAACACAAGACTGGGAAACACCACCTGCAGAAAATCCTCATTTAAAGGAATGGTGATAATGAGTATGCTTGTTTTTATCAACAATTTGCCGGAAAATACCAAAACATCATATGATGAACACATATCATTTTTTATCTACAGACTTCATCATTTAACTTGAAGTATTACATTAATTTAGCAGCTGATGTAGGAAAACCCCAAAACTCCACTTGAGGGAGTTCTGTCACGGTTCTGGTGAAATTTCCATCTCTCCAGTGTACATGTACAATCTAATAAAAACAAAAAATCTCACGGTCACAAAGCCAGAAACAAAATTTCTTCTCAAAGTGACATTTTAGAGATTCAGCTATATAGCAACGAGATGCTGGTAAATTCCCCCACTCCATTTTATACAGGACAGAAGCAGAGTGAGAGCAGTGGCTGCTGCTGTTCAACAAGTACTATTTGGCTAATAACCTTGTTAGGAAATGTATCAGCTTTTACTACGTATATAATCTTTTTCACCATATAATTTTTTCAAAATTTGAAAGGGTTATTTGTTAATGAAATGCTGCCAACTTTAAGAAATATAGGCTTTTATTAATAGGAAGAAACAAAAACAGCTCATGATAACGTGGTGAACAGAGTCAAGGTGGTCTGAGGAAAACCAAGCAGTTGGATTTTCTTGAGTCTCTATCAGTCACTGCCAGCAGATTCCACAAGATCAATTAAAATTTTTATTTTGTCAAATAGGTCTCCGAGAGGACTGAATGAACTTAGGGTGTGTTACAACATAACAGCATGGTCAATTGTGAACGCAGTGTAAATATATATATATATGTTTGGTCACAAATCTCAAATCTGTGTTTTGGTCATAGGTTGCCTTGTACCGTCTGACAAAGTTATGTGTCCCATTAAAGGGAATTTGGGCCCCATATTTCTCCAGGGACAGGACAGGTCCCTGCAGCGTTATAGGTTCACCTCCAAAACATTGGACAGACACTACGTCTTGTCTCTCTGCTCTACAGCCACACTGGTCAAGGCACATGTAAAGTCTTACTGTGAAGCACCTTTGCAGCCCAGCTCTGTATTGTATTGTCTCAAAATGAGTTCATAGCTTGTTTCATTCCTTTTATAGACATTTTTTCCTTTTGAAGAAGACTTCTTTCAATAAATAACACAAATATATTCATACGTCATATATAGATAGATAAACATGTATAAACTACATGCATTTTATATAATTTAAATAATTTATATGTACAGTTCCCCCTCACATACTCACTCCCTCCCTCCCCAACCCCTCTCAAATAAGTTCTTCTGTAACAGCGGTGCTGCACCGGCTTGTGGATTTGCAGCACATTAATGTGAAATATCATGTAAATGGACCCACAATTCATTCAGTAGCAGTTTATAGCAGAATGTTGCACTTCACCACCATGACACATAATCCTGTGGTGGGGAGCACTGTCAACAGGAAATAAAATCCTGTACAGGAAGTAGAATTCCAACAGCTAGTCCCCAGCAGGGCTTGCATTGTTTTGTTTACGTCCTATGACGTTTCCTTGACAATGCACAAACGCACGAAGTGTCTATGCGTATCCACCTCCAGCCCACTGAACTGCGAACCTGTGTCAGCGCTCGAACGTATGTCTGCGTTGTCTTGCACTGTGAGTTCCAGTTCTTGTCATCAATGCCCCGGCAGCCACCTTTGAAGGGCCTGGCGGTCCGACAGCGTGTCTCATAAAAGTACTGTTTGATGTCCTGCGTGGCACTGGTTTTAATTTTGGCCAGAACAGTGACAGGATCCCCCCTGGTGTCCACTGCTTGGGTTTTATCTGTCACCCACTGGCTCTCGCTGTCGCACACAGAATATTCCCCACGGTAGCTCTTGTGCTCAGCATAACGCTTCTTCCGTGTCTTGTTCCCCGCGGCCCCGCCTTCCTGTCCGCCGCTCACGAAATCGTCCGCGAGGTAAAGCGGTGGCGGCTGCAGTGGAGGCCGGTCGCTCAGTAGCACCCGAGGTGAGTTGTACCTCTTGTGCTGCCTGAGAATGTCTGAGTTCAACAACAACACCTGCTGGTCGACCATACCCTCACTGCTCCCGCCACTGCGACCCCCTGTCGCCCACTGCTCCCCATCGCCCTGCTCCTCTAAAGGAAAGTTTGCACCGAGGAGAGGAGGCAGTGTGTCCTGGGGCTCAGTGTCCCTGCTTCTCCCCTGTTGGCTCTGGTTCCCCCTGGTCTTCCCCCTGGTCAGGTCAGCCTGAAGCAGCTGGATGATAAGGGAGTTTAAAGGGTCTGGACTCTGCTGCTGCTGCTGTTCCCCCTGGTGACTGCTGTCCATGTTGGTAGCCTGGATACCATAGAGGTACACAAGGACCATCACATACAACAGGATGGACATCACTAGATTCACCTGTAAGATCTGCAAAGACAGAAAGAGAGACAGTTTTAAGATACATGCTTTACTTTCAGTTTTCTTCCTTACAGAAACTTATTTTTCTTCCTAAGTAACAATTAACACAAGCATTAATCCCTCAACACTGGAGGTTTTCAAACTGTTCAAACTGCAGGAGTGGCTCTGACACACAGCTCATGGAGGACATTAAGGGACTTTAAAACACTTAGCGATCCATTGTAGAAGTCTGCATCATAAATCATACTGCTCAATTTTCTCTGGGGATTAAAGTTGTGAAAGTCTCTGTTGTTTTGTGGGAACCTTTGGCTTGAACTTGGTTATCCCACTGTAATTTGTGGTGAACTGCTGTAACAGCAGCAGTATGTGTGTGTCTTGGTATAAGCACACAGTTATGGGAACTAACGTGCTGCTACATGTTCAACATACCATGTAAAACACCCATTATTCTGTTCAGAGTAATACATGGAAACTCTTGACACGAGCATTTAAAATGCGCAGAATGAAACCTGGCTCACACACACACGCCATCCACACACTTTGTTGATGTCACCAAAAGGTGTCTCGGTCTCTCTTTAAAAACATTTGTTACATCAGTTGTCATGGTGAAAACCTGACACTTCTTAAGTAATTCCACAGTAATGAAGCTTAGAGTAGGTTCAGTCAGGAAGACTCTTCTCATTCGTTCACATTTCTCTCTCAGTCCCTCTTCTCCTGCTTATTCATAATCAACTGGATATTCGTTTACTCTTTAAGTTAGCCAGTCTTATTGTTGCTGTCAGAGTTTAAATCTACATCTCTCCTCTCTGCTGCTGTCGGCTTTCATTTCAGTCCAAATTATCGCAACCATCCAACTCCAGTTCATCACTTCCAGCATCCAGGTCTGAGCTCACCAGAAGCCCGCTCCACTTCACATCCATCCAGATCTCAGCCATTCTCTTCATCCCATCTCCGCCTCCACCAGCGTCTAGACTCCATAATGGGGGTATCCCATGCTACTCACAGCTTCACTACCCCCTTAAAAATATGGTGACGTCATGGTGGAGTCTAATCGCCAGAGACTATTCACATTCTCACCTTTGTTATGAACACTGTGTTCACTTTTTCTCTTTCAGGCTTTATGCCTAATGTCTTGCTATAATTCCTTGATCCGCAAAGACACATTTTCATCTCTTGTGGGTTTGGTCCTCACACCAGCTCCAGTGCCATGCCTATTCTCATGTCAGCTGAAGCCAAAAATATTACCAAACCAGACCCTACCCATCTGCAAGCTCCGGTGTTTTCAACAATATATATTTATTTACTTTTTTTTCAACACTCAGCTGCTCAAGCTGAAATTTGTCTCAGCTTTTTAAGTTTGTTTTGATGTTTGAGTGTCTTTTACAGATGGTCACTCCTTGGCCATCTGTAAGAGATAGTGTAGTAGATCTGCACTTCACATATTATAACATCATGTTTGTGTATGCCTGTGCATGCAGACAACAGCAGATGTTTCAGCGCCACATGCTTATTCCCAACTCAGAGTCAGGGTGTACTGGTGGTGTAAGCCTCAGGAAAGTGTTATTAGCACCTACTAGCTTTCAGATAAGCCTACTGACTAACCCTCATTCATAAAGTTCCATATATTAACAGCCTCCAACTGCGTCTGCATTCTTCTACTGTTGGCCATCGAACAGTTTCACTAACGGGACACTTGTTGGGAAGGGAGTGTTTTTCAGTCATTTCCTTTGCCCAGCTTTTCACATCTAAACCTGACAAAATGACAAACCATAAACACTGACATATCATCATCTTTAAAGTCCAGCAGACAAAGAGCAACGTTAGCATTCATTTGGAGATTTGGAGTTTTGGGCACCTGACAAGTCCAATATTCACTCTCCCTTTAGCTCTGTTTTTTTTTTATCTCCTCCAACTCCTGAAGGAAATACCTGGCTCTAAATGCTCCACTTTGTTCACCAGCTAGCTGCTGACTCAATGTGTCTGGTGTTTGGTAATGAGTAGGTAATGTGCAGTGGCGTTTATCAGAGATTTTTTGCTCAAAATAACAGCCAATCCTGATGTTCTAGGTAATGAACACCAGCATTTCATATGACGACTACGTCATTGGCTTTCAGAGGCTGTAGCAAGCTCAGTTTTAAAGCTAGAAATACTGGTATCATGTGAAAATATTTCTCTGTAGTGAGACAATTTTTGAAACTTGACCTTACTGTATAAAATGACCTATTGTAACCTCTAGGATAGTCACAACCTCATGAAACCTTACAAACACAAACAAGAGACCTAGGGCATTCAGAGGGTGCATACCCCCCCTCCTAAAAAGACAAAAATGGGAGTATGGTAGGGAGGGGTGGAGTGGAAGGTTAAGAAAAATGTCATGACCATCTATGATAAAGTCAAAGAACAAAATTAGATATTAGCATACTTTTCTTCTGTGTCACCCAGTGTAATTATAATATTCCCACAGATAAGCAGGTGGTGATGTGTGTTTTATGTTTCACGGGCCGTTGTTTATGTTGAAATCCAAAGTACACACAAATGTTCACTAAACCTTCTATTGACAGGTAAAGGTCAAACGCCTTTCAGAGAGAGGAGGAGAAAAGAAGCGAGGGATAATGGACAAACAGAGAACAAAAAGAGGTGACGTGTCCCTATCAGCGATGTTATGGCAGGATGATACAGCTGTTGGATGGATGGATGCATGGGCATCAGAAAAGACACGCACACACACACACACACACACACACACACCTTTATTACTCCTAAGTCATAACAGCTCATTTCTCTCTGTTTCTGTCCAAAGGGAAGTATTTTGGATTATTGGAAAGTCACAGAAAGTCACTCTCACACACACTCATACCTTTACACTTGCAAGGACCCTCATTGGCATAATACATTCATAACACGTGTCAGAGAAATAATTTTAACCCTATTAACACAAGTTTAAAGAGTAATCCACCAATTTAGCAACTCCTAAGTCTCTGATGGACTCCTAATTGACAGTTTAAAACAAATGCAGAAGAACCTGATATATTTGTTTTTAAAGCAAGGGCAGGCAATTCTTTTCAGAAGCATTTTTGGCATGTCTTTACATCCCAACAGTAATCAATAAATCAAATGCTCTGACACACAGTGAAACAGAATCCAGTATCTGTGACTGTCGCGGGACTATAATAAGCACAGCCAATCTCTCTGTAAATCAGGCGCCTCACCCATGAAAACTGCATCAAGTCAGACAAATTAATTTTCCCTCCTGCTGCCATAATCACGGCCATAAAAGCCCTCACTGTCGTTTATGATGTTGACATTCAGGCTTGCGGAGGCTAACGAAGCACAGTGGGTGAGCAATAACTGTCTCAGTGGGCAGGATGATAATGAGACTGCGTGCGCATGCACTGCATGTTCTCCCATATTTGTATGTCTACTGTAGGAACAAATGACTACACAGGAGGACAGGATAATTAGGAAACACCTCCCCACTGAGGACACTTTGCCCGTCCTCACCTCTACAAGAAGCTATTATAGGACAAGGACTCAAGTTTAAAGCTTTAGAGTTTAGAGTTTAGCTTATAATTAGGTGTTGGTTACGCTAAGGTTAAAGGTTAAGGAATAAATGTAGTCATTAAAGGTCAAAGTGTACGTGTGAGAGAGTGAAAGGAAAAAAGAACAAGGCCGACAGATGTTAATGCTCCTGAAAGATAAAATGCAATAAAATATATTGGTGTGAAGCGACAGATGGTCAGGATATTAAAAGTCCACCCTTTTTAAAGGCATCAAGGTGAAACCATTTATAGACACACTATGTTTGAATGTGTGACCACAGAATTGATAATGACTCTGTTTGCTCTTTCAGTCTGCCTTTTGTTGCCTCGATTCACTTTGCAGCTGAAAATGTCCAAATTCAGGTTGCTTTTTCTGGAGGCAGCAGGTCTGGGCAGCATTAACGTGGATGACAACGTTATTCACTACTCACTTCTCACAAGCTGTTGGTGCTCTTCTCCGCCCTCTCCACCAGCAGAGACGGAGTAGGGAGAAGATCAGGTGTTTTATTTTATCCAAGCATGTGCATGAAGTTGCTCATCAATGTCACTTTTCGTGAACCGCACCAATCTAAGTCTGGATGGGGCAAAAAGGTTGACGTGGTACTACACAAACTTTCAAATTGTTGAACTCATCTACTCGCATTGCTCCTCACATTCATCTACAAATCATCAGAGATTCCTTGAAGTTGTATACAGGACAGAAATTCATAGCTGGTGCTCATTACCATCTGTTGTTTTTAGAGCGAGGTTAATGACAGCATCTCTTCCGTTAGCATAAAATTTTCCTTAAACTGACTTTTACCCTCAAAGAAGCAGGGATTCGACACAGCTGTTATAAGCATATTTACAAGAAATTCACCATGTGCCTCTGAGAATTGTGCTTCACACTTAAATGGATAATTGCTCAAGGAAAATATATTTTTCATGTGACATTCAGATGGTACTGTGGCCTGAAAATAGTCAGAACTGGGTGAAACTGGAATGCAGGGTTCTGGGGCTTTAGTGCCCCGCACCACCACAACGGCCCATGTGACTCCTATTTATTTAACATGAAGATTGACTAAATGTTTTCTAGCATTTTCTGCTGCCAGTTTTACAGCAAAAAAGAAATTTCACTGGGACAATTAAACAAGATGGATATCTCTTTAAAATCACACAGTCCGCCTCAGACACTCAAGCAATAACTGGTACTGGAACAAACCTCTTGGTCCACCACTTTGGTCCAGACAGTAGTATCCCAACAATTATCTGATGGATTGCAATGAAATTTGGTACAGATATCCATGGTTATCCACTCCCATCAGCCTCAGTTGTACTTTGTGTTTAGCGCTCATTAGCAAATGTTAGCATGCTAACACCCTAAACTAAGTATTTGCCATACATCAGCATTGTTATTGTATGTATGTTAGTATGCGGATGTTAGCATTTAGTTCAATGCTAAACATCAGTAAGTAGCCTGATGATTTTGTA